AATATAATATAATATAATATAATATAATATAATATAATATAATATAATATAATATAATATAATATAATACAATACAATGCTCACCCTCTTATTTTTACGCCCAGAACTTGACTTGAGTAAGCTACAAACGGTAAACAAATTAATGCAATAAATTAGAACTTACGATTTAAGTTTAAACAAACATTCAAATTCGTATATATCGTGTGGGAGAATATAAGTAATTCTTAATTTTATCAATTAATCTAATACATTATATGATCCAGTGTGTCTGAGTTTATAGTTTATTACTAGAACAATGGCATAGCTGTAATAATCGTTGCTGGCTTTAGGACAATTGAAACAATTTGCATTTGATTAAAATGGCAAATTATGCTCAAACATAAATTATACCTTGCTTTTAGCTCTACTCACTGACCTTTGACACACACGGATTTAATATTTTACTGTACACGCCCGTGCCAGCAGCTTTCCGTATACGATGAAAATAGTTCTGAGTCTATGACACATAACTGACGTGTATGTTTTCTGGCTGTGTTTGTTTATTTATTACAATATTCTATCTACATTTTTTGTTAAAACAATCCTACCAAAATGATTCTCTCCAGAACAGTACTCAAACTATGAAAAATCTGTAACTATATATTTTGTAAATGTAACACATACACACACCTGCTTTGAATACCCGGATGTCCTGCGGAGTGAACACCAATTTACTACATTTGCTAGTGAAATATCAATCAATGCACTTCAATGAAATCAATCATTGAAAAAAACAAGTTCTGTATGCGTATGCTGCAGTATTATGCATGCGCAAATTCGGTTAATGTCGATATAAAAATAATATTTTCTTACTTTTCACTTTCTGGTGTGTTCTGCCCTTCCTCTGCCTTTTTGAGAGCTCCGCGTGAGCTCTTCATTATTGAGACCTGACAGTGAACCTATTGGTATAAAAAAACATATTCAATATTTGAAGGTAAAATGGCGTTTCACATAATGCTGCCCTCGAGGCTAATCTCACCGGGGCAATAAATTCATACATCATAACGGAATTGTACGTTAGCTCATGTTGTTGAAAGGTAAATCACTACAACAGATAGTCAATATTCTAAAGTATTGCGACAACTTACCTTTGTACCACGTTCTTAAAAAATACCCTAGAATTGTTTTCTGGTTAGCATCACTGCATGAGAGATGCGCGTTGTGTATAAGGTCGATAGGGATAACTGTTTCCTCTATTTTCGTCACCAATGGTATTTGCATACTATTTCTTCATCAGAGCGGATATAATCGCTGGTTTAAATAATTCTACCCCACTGATGAATTGGAATACAATACAAGCCTATACAGGTCTTTTTTTTGTTAATATATAACTTAGCGTGGACGTTTATTTATTCGGGGACGGTCTATCCAATGTTAAGTTTCATATGTGTGGGTTTGCATTCACTACTTATATATACTTATTATATTTGCAATACTCATATGTTTAAATTCTATGTGAATTTATTTTTATCAATACGAATATACAGTCTGCAAATTAAAACTTATATTTTGTTTACGGAAATGGGGATAGAACTTGTTGATTGCAATCTCTTTGTGTCGATATCTACCATAAGTTTCTGTTCCTTTTTGTGTTTTGACAGACACTGGCTGTTATTTCACAATCAAACAATACGATACTTTAACGGTGTTATTATTATTTATAAAGTCAACAGTGTTCATTTCAAGTTCGCTGCTGTTCTGAGGCTAGCCCTCACCGAACCTGATGTCACTCTTACAGCAAAGAGCGGAGATGTTGCACGGGGCTGGACACTTGAATTAGAATTCGGTAAAAACACACATCAAAAGTTATATATATATATACCAAAATAATTAGACAACCACAAAATTATTTTTCAATTTCCTAATTTATTTTGTGAAACTCCCCGACGAACCCACCGACCGGTGATTTGCCGGGGTGAAATTGTGTTGCATCATATATGAAGTTCAGAATTCTGGGAAATCGTTTCGCTAATAGAGGTTGCGTTTGATGTTGTTGTACTTTCAATGGCTTATTTTTTGTTTGAGCATGTGTACCGCGTTTTCGCTGTTTTTTTGTTTCGACATTATAACCATGACACATAATGCTTCAATCTCTCTGAGCAATTTAATTCTCAGATTTAGATGATTCTGACACTTTAAAAGCCTAATCTTCAGACCATCGTGCACGAACCACAGGCGTTGCATACATTGCGTGTAAATCATATTGAGCACGAAAACTCGTGGCTTAAATGTGAAAAAGTAGTACAGAGCTGCCAAGCGTCAGTTTAGTATAAAAAACTGAGTACTCAAAACAGAGCGGACGATGGACTGAGCATGAACCCAACCGCAGGTGGGCAGTTTTTCGTGAAAAATCATAGTTTTAAGTGAATCGTAGTACGGGTAACGGCTCTCATCCTCTCGTGCATACGTATGTCAACAGACGTGACATATTACATTCAACAAACGTCACTATATTTAGTGTATGTTTTACGTCCTAATTCTACGTCACCAGTTAGTTGTGTATGATATCAACTGTGATAAATATAAAACATAAAGTAATATAATTATTAATAATAATTTTTTCGATGCAGTTATGATATATACTAGTTGTATTCTCTTATAAATCTCAAAATGAAGAACATAACATAGCTCACCATTTGCAGTTTTAGCAATATAATAAAAACCTAATAAAAGACCAACATATAAAAATAGACCTATTAAAGCCTATGTCGAGGCTAAAGTGACATTGACATCGGTATTGCCCATGCATTTGATTATCAGTTTAGTGGACTGACCTGATTGGTTAATACTCTCCTGTAAATCGCGCCCTCTATTGACGAAGCGATTATATGATTTAAATAAACGACAGGAATGCCAAGCAAAGTGTCGATGTCGCTTTGATGTGTAATCAATAAACAATTTGTTTTTGAGAAATGTCACTGTGTTCTGGATGGCGGACGACTACACAACCGAACACAGTTGTTGATTTTTACGACATTGGCTTCACCAATAAGCGCTCTATCACTGGAGGGCGACATTTTTAGAAATGGAGTGTTAATATTTAAGCTATGCAAAGCTGTATAGTCTTTTGATACACGTTATCGTGTGTTGCATTGCTCAAACAATGTATATGTAGCCCAGGACAATTTTAAATATTGTCAATATCGTCCAAATAAAATAAACACATCGATACCCAGGTAGAATCTGTAATTCTCCATATTATGGAAGCTGAAGCTGGTCAAGGCAGGTGTGGGCAGATTTATTTTATTGTAATGTTATTTATATGATACGCATGTATTTAAGTAACGTGAATCGACTTTCGTTGATTAAAGAAGTTACAGTGGAATTTATTCCAAACGAAACAGTGCTCGCCG